CAGAAGACAGAAATCTTCATACTCACCGCTGTGAAAACCTCAAATCTTACAGATTAGTAGTTGTGTAATATTTTTAAACAGCGCTGACACTATTATCATTGACGGCGACTGCAATAAAGATGTGTGTTTCCATTATATGTACTACCTTGCTTTACACTATTCTGCCTTAGGAGTTATCACAGCTTCGCTTGATTTCTTGCTACCAGAGTCGCCACGTTCTGAATTATTATTTTGATTTTTTTGGGCATGTCACGAAAGGCTCACTCGTGTAATCAAATGTGACTCGCACTTTCTATAATATTAAAAATTGATAGATGATATAGTACTAGATATTTAATTATATATATGATTGTAAAAATATTCTTTCTTTGTTTCTCTCATCATCTTTACAGGTAGGTGTAGAGGTTTTTATTTATTCGATTGATCTATGTGGACAATGGTAGGATTCCTTGGATGATGGATCAGCCCGACGCAAGGCCTCCACCTATACAAACACAGAAAGACGTGGCCAAACGACCATGCCTTGAGTGGGACTGGAACCCTCGATCCCAGCGGCCAGGCGCACGACGTCCATGGCTCAGACCACGTGGCCACTACGGCTGGCTTGGAAAAATATTTTATCATTTATTAGGTCTCATATATGCACTTTAATTAGGTTTTCAGGTACTGAGACATACTACACACCTATTAAATAAACAATAAGTTCGACATTGTAGGTAATTTCAGTAATAATCTGACCAAAAAAGCAGTGTAAAATAAAGTAAGTAAAGTTTGTCCCTCTATACGCCATGTAGGCGGTTGCGGTGAGTGGAGGAATAGGTCCTCTCTTCCTTGACCTCGGCACTGGATGGGGACGAGTGGTCAGCATCACGCCCCGGCCGGCTTTACCCCCGGGAAAGGACCACGATACCCATTGTAGATCAGGCTGGGTGGGCTCCATAGCCGGTCTGGACGCAGAGGCTTCAGGAAAAATTCTATGCCCCCGTCGGGGATCGAACCCCGGTCGACCAGCCCGTAGCTAGTCACTATACGAACTGAGCTATCCCGGCTCAAAAAGCAGTGTATCAAATGTAACAGGTTTAAGTCACAAGGCGGAGTGATACAAAAATGATCTTACCTGCTCCTGACACCAGTTCACGCAAACGCATCCACAGAATTCTGTACTCCCCTATCAACTCTGCAGACACGGTTCTTTGTTTTAATTTACTCTGGAAAACAAAGATTAATTCATTCACGTTAACAAGATTAAGTATGTCTGTTAACATTCCAATATTAAAATTTGGTACACAAATCTTTTATGCGAATATCATTGTGAGGGAATCTATATGCAAATTGGAATAGAGTTACGAAATCTTAAAGTATGATACCGTAAACAAATGAAAATAATTTGTAATAAAATTAACTAATGTAACGCTGGTGATGGTCAACTGAGAATAGACATCTACTATGTTCTGCATTATATATACATATAGGCCGTTGTACTATATCCGTTATGAACGTAAACTCCTGCCCTGTGACAGGAGAAATTATTTTACAAAATTTTAAAACTGATATTTCAATGGAAGTATTTCAACAGAGGAGGAAAACGTAATAGGCAAATGCAAAATTCTCTTCACAAACCCCGAAGGAACAGAATAGACAATCTATATACCAACGTATAGGAAAACAAGTTTGAAAAAATTCGCAGGATTTTATAAACAGGTTCGTGTCGAATCCAAATAATTATTAATTGAATATCTGTTTTATATTTTTACCTCGACATCAAGTTAAATATGAAAGAGACTATGTATTCAAAGTTTGTTTTTGCCTTCTCA